CATATTCGAAGGTGGTTCCATTTAGGGGGGCATAGGTTATAGGAAAATACGGGTACTGTGATAAGATCTTCTGGGTTTAAAGCCAAGCGGAATTTCTAATACTGAACTAAATAGTTCTTTAACTAATAGTTCTTTATGTGTTCATTTGGAAGTATTACTTTTTAATCTAATAAAAACAAGAAAAGAAATATAAGCTTCGGCTTGCCGAAGGGACCCTTGCTGCTGTCACAAAATTAGATAATGTATATTCCGATTTTTAAGCGTTATATTGTTCCTATGGCAGCTACATGATATACTAGTACTAATTGCTATATTTCGGAGTATATCCATATAAATAAAAAAAAATCCAAGTTATTTGTTTTTATTTATTTTTCCGATTGTTGCCATTGAAGCTATATAATATATTCGCCTGATCCGATCCATTATGACTTATAAATTACATGCAATAGATAGAACTTTTTTGGGAAACGTTAATACAAATAGCTTTCAAAATACAAAATTCTCTTGCCTTGCTAAGAAACACAAAACAGTTATAAACGATTTTTGAACATTTAAATTATTACGATCTTGTATCTTTAAAGCCAATGGAATCGTTACTACTGAAACAAAAAGCGTTTATCAAAAACGGTACAAAAATTGATTGACAATATTAATTAATTAAAATCATGAAAAGCACAATTGTTTGCCAGTCTCCAAACTGTCAATTAACCGGTGTTAATCAAGTGTTCACACTTAACCGCCAAATGACAGCTGAAATGAACTTTAAAATTGGTAAATCAGACGCCTGAAACCCAACGGCTAGCTAAAATTAAAATTAATTAATGACATTTGTTTCTGCAACGACTGTGCGTGCAAGCAATTATTGAATGACGATTTTAATTGATTTTGAGCCAAAAATTCACAACTTCACAAAAACCTCAGCTGATACTGCTAAATCTCTCTTAGTTTCCCAATTAAACACCAAAAAAAGGTACCCTGAATTCGAGAAAAAATACTAAATATTCCAACGATGCAAAGGCGATCAATAAAAGCAATTGGGTGTCAACGCAAAAACATCGAATTTTTCATAAAAAATTTGTTGGCTTTTCTCATTCACACTGACGAGGGTCACGCACGGGTTCCGTATTCAAGAGTACGAATTCCACATTCTGGAATCCTGAGAACGGCCCGCATATTTGATTTTTGTTTGCACTTAATTTCCCAACGCAATTTCCTTGATGAATGGGGACATAAGATGTGCAACATGTTGTTGTTATAATGTTTGCTAACAATTGCGATTGCCCAGCTAATTATTAAACGAGGAGGGGGTACGTAAAAGATATAGTATATATATATTTAATATTTTATTTTATACGGCTATTGACAAATTTAGTTTTTATAATTCTGTATATATTATTATATATATAAAATTCTAGCTAACTTAAAAAGACAAAGCCGAAAAGCTTACTAACCATTTTCAGTAAATTCTAAAAAAACATTATTAAATAATGAACTTAATATGTTTTTTTTTAGTAGTAAATAAATAAATAAAAAATATTTCACAAAAAAGTAGATACCAGAGCTAATGATGCATAAGTGTAGTGACAAAATATGCTTATAAAAACGCTATCTATCATAACAAAGTTTCATTTGGTCTACAGAAAAAAGAGAAAATGTATGACCGTTTGTTGTATGTTTTTATACCCGTTACTCGTAGAGTAAAAGGGTATATTGTATTCGTGCAAAAGTATGTAACAGCTAGAAGGAAGCGTTTCCGACCCTATAAAGTATATATATTCTTGATCAGGATCACTAGCCGAGTCGATTTAGCCATGTCCGTCTGTCCGTCTGTCCGTCTGTCTGTCCGTCTGTCTGTCTGTCTGTCTGTCCGTATGAACGCTGAGATCTCGGAAACTATAAAAGCTAGAAGATTGGCATTTTGCATGTAGATTTAAGAAGTTCCTACGCAGCGCAAGTTTGTTTCAAAATGGTGCCACGCCCCCTTTAACGCCCACAATCGCTTATATACGATTTTAAAAATTTAAATATTTCGGAAAAATGCAGTTTTATTGTGTTTATCATTACCTATCGAAATGTAGAAGAAATTTTTCAAATCGGACCATTCGTTAAAAAGTTATGCGTGATCAAAGTTTCTATCTCCAACTCCCTCGCACTCCCTTTAGCTGAGTAACGGGTATCTGATAGTCGGGGCACCCGACTATAGCGTTCTCTCTTGTTTTTTAATATGATTATTTATGAATGACTTACCAAATCATTAGGTTCTTATAGCTCGGAGAACAAAAATTAATCGTAAAAATGGTTTTGGCTAATTTTCAGCTAGTAATTTTCAACAAGATTCTATGCTTAATATCACACATTTTCATTGATTTAATAAAATGGAACAATATAAAGTAATTAAGATTTCTTCAACGTTTTTATATAGTTTTTCTAAGCTTAGAAGAGTTATTTATTCTTTCTATAAACTGCTTGTAACTTTCCGCATCAGCTCTTCAGCTTACCCGACGACTTCATCTCCTGGTGTGCGCTATTCAGCATTAAGTATACGCCCCGAGCAACAATGATGATGCGAAGGTTTCTATATTTTAGCTTTCAGCGAGGCAGCTGGGCGGCGAGTAAATATTACCTGTCCGGAGTGCGGAAGTACGGGAGTGAGGGAGTACGGACTCATCATCCTTTACCACAAACCTCCCTAACACGTGGTCTTCGCGTCAGCGCACGTGTGTACATTTTTAATTATGCGAGCGCACACAGAGCGCCAAGGTAAAAACAGAGCATCGCGAATGTCGGGCAACTAACTTATTAAAAAGCACTCGCCTGGCAACGCATATATTTGCCGAATAAAGCGGAAATTAAGGCAAACTAGGTGCTCCCTTCGCCATTCCAAGGACGACCAGCCTATCCTTTCGTTCGCAATTTTCAGCTGACCACCTTGTGGCCTGAGAAGTTACTCGAGCAAATTCGCCCGCAAGCGATTTGCATAACCGTAGGCAGATGCCTATGGCTGTTGCTTTCCCATTGTATTCCACTAAGAGCCGAGTAATAGAGAAATGTTGAGGAAAACCCCACGAAATCCTTCAGTAATCCAGCTTACTTACTGACTGATGATAACCTAAAAGTGTGCAAAGCCTATCAAGCTGCAAAAGGCATGAGCAAACGAATAAATGAAAAAATCCCAGTAGATAGAATTGTTTGTGAACTACTCGTAAAAATGTAACTTCCATAACTGAGTTGGAAATTGCTTAATTTGATGAGGCGGGACATCGAATTGTGTATCCCGACTAAATGACACTGTGCAGGTCCTTAAAATGTCAAAATAAGGGAAGAGATTTTTTTAAATTTCAATTTAATATTTTAAAGATTTCAATTATTTAGTATTAATTTATTTATTTATTGTTCTTACCATCAGAATGATTAATTTAAACAAATTAACCTAATGTGTTTTTTTTTTAGATGTGCTCACAAGAAATAAATAATTTAAGTGGCAAATAATGATTAACAAGGATAAACAAGGATTGTATTGTAAATCGAGAATAAAAGCTGCGCACAGCTACCTAACTTTAAACTTAAGCTTTTAATGACAGTTATTTCCTGATTTCTTTTTTTCGTGAATATTTTTTTATACTTCTCCCTCGACCTCGTTCACTAAAACAAAGTAGTCGACAAATTTAGAGTAATAATATTATTGTAAACAAAAAAATCAAAGGATATGAAAATAATAATTTTCTTTGGCTTGCTTAACTTTAACCAAAGTCTTAATAATTTCTTCTCTCCATTTTTTGTTAAACTAACATACCTTTACTACCCTGCAATCAGACAACAACACTACCCACCATAAATCTTTTGACCAGAGGAAAGGGACACCGGCTTTCGGGCGAGGCAAAAATTATTACATGCCTCATTTGCCAGCGCCTTGAAGAGTCTGCTTATTATATTTTGATTATTTCTGGCACGCGTGTTTCGGGGGGCCTCAAAGCGAGGAACTCCACTCCGAGTGCTGTAAACAAATTCGAGAATTCGCAGACTGGTCAAGGGGCGGATGTGGATGCGGATGCGGATACTGATGCGGATGTGGATGTGGATGTGCTGGGATGGGGCAGATAAACAGGCCAGCTGGGTTTTTTTCGGTTGCATAATTTTTTCATTTTATTTTGGACTCGTTTGGCCCGCTTTTGTCCATAATGAGATATCTCTATTCTCCTTTGTTTCTTTTCATCATTTTGTGCTACACTCCGTCCATTGTGTTCTTGGTGTGTGCGCTTGTTGTTTTTGCATTTCGCGAAATGCCGCTGGGAAATTCGTGTAACCAAAAAAAAGGAGGAAAAATCTACTGGGCTCAAATGGCAATGATGGCGTCGAGGTGGTCTTATTAATTAGGACACGCGCCCTGAGTTATATTTATTCTCTAATATCCTCCACTCTACATATACACGTGAACCGTGAAAGGGACAGCGCTTTTTTGTTATTTAAATGCACAGCAATTTTTTCAGCCATCTTTTCTTGATTGCAAAATTTTATTTGCATAAGAATGCCAAACGGGCAAAAAGAAAACTTCAATGATATTTCTTATTCTTAGGATACTTCATAGGACCAAATGTCTTAAACTAGTCCCCGCCATTTGTGGAAAAAACATCATACATATATAAATTTTAAATTATTTTAAATTAAAAAAAAAAATTCATAAAGATTAAAAAAATAAAATTGATTTTATGTTTTGCATGGCAAATAAAACTAGTTAAAATTTTGGCTGTATTTTGAGTTGCACACGGGCCGAATGATTATTGTGAAAATATTGCTATTGCTATTTAATTTTTAACAACAATTCCAGGCCGTATATAATCTCTAATCTCTCACTTAATTCTATTTTGAAATTGATTCCCTAAAACCAATGCAGATACCCGTTCCATCTGCATTTGCGATTATAATTTAACAATGATCAATTGTTACTTAGGACTGCGTCCTAAGTAGGTAACTAGAAACCGTTCGGATTTAAGAAACAAATTTACTGCTAACTGAAATCAAGTAACTAGTCTAGCTAAACATTCACAAACCCTTTAAAATTGTTTAGATACACATTGTTCAGCCATGTCCAGAGTGACCAAGGGCTTTGCCCGCCTGATAAATCCGGGCGTGGTGCTCAATCCGGAGCTGAATCAGAAGATAGCCGCCTTCGAGACCATGAGCGCCGAGCGATCCGAACTGGATCGGGAACTGGGAAGATTGCGCAAAAAGCAGGACGAAACAGAGGATAATCTGGCCGAGGCGTTGGCCGAGGACGAGTTTCAGTGCAATTTGAGGGGCCAGTCGTTCACGGGTCCCAACGAGGATGAGCTGCAGGAAATACTCAGGAGTCACCTCAGCGGAATTATCAACAAGCTGGCGACCAAGTATGAGCGACTTGTCTACCTAGATGCCGACATCAGGAAGCTCAAGGGGACCATTGAAAAGGCCATCACAGTGGCCAACGAAGAATCTGCCGCCGCAGCCGCAATGTGAAATAGCCTACCACTTTTTGTACTTCTACTTAAAATTGTTGTTTAATTTACACACACGTAATGTTGTCTAAGGAAGGCTTCGTCACCTCTGCAAATGTTTCAAAGTAAGTATTTCTTATAAATATGACTTAATAATAATACTAAAGATTTTCCTAGAAGCAATTAAATCAGGGATAAAATATTATCAAGCTTAAACCCAAAATCCTTAAAAGGTATCCTAGCTTTGCCATTTGATGCTTGCCAAAATATCTCAATTCATTTTGCTGGGCATCTTAAATTACTTGGGTGAAATTAAAGCCGCAACAATCTCATTTCCGGTCATTTTTAACGCACTCTCGCACAGACAATTCAGCAAGGACCAGAAGACACTGCAAATTTAATTGCGTATACGCACAGTTGCCACTGCAGTCGCGGCCACAGTTTCCTCCGCGCCAGCAGATACGCTCTGCTGACTTTATCGTTAAGTGCATAAATTCAATAATGCCGAGCGTCTGGTGGTGTCAACGCGCTGCGGAAGACATAGACTCACCGGATCGATAAAACTGCAATTTGAAAATTAATGGACTTTTCTGTGCCATTAAAATATCTGGTTTTCGTTTCGCCACAAAATCTAAAGCAAATCGCTTTTGTTATATTAAATTTTAATAAATATTGTTTAATAATCTTTTATTTAATTATAGAAATATGTATTACATTTTATTATAATGCTTAGTACTCAACAAACTCTATTAGATAACCACTTTATATTGAGATTCTTATGATAAAGTTAAACTAAGACAAAACGTTGCAACGTTAACTAACTTTAATTGCGTAAGGAACGACACAATGAGGGAGGAACATTCAAACAAGGTTTATATAACTAACTGATTGCGTATTTGTTGTTACTTTGTTTTGTTTAAGCATTAATAGCTTCGGATTCCAGGAAGAACACAAGATATATTTGAACAAGCCCAGACTCTTGTCTTTGACTTTACTTTAATTAATTAAATTGAAATGTTAGAGGAGGTAACAATTTCGATTTTGTTTCAGTGGTATCCAGACTGGTCAAACAAGCTAAATGCAAATTTTCCAACCAGACATGGGGCTTAACGAGAACATTTGCATGAAGTCAATCATTTCGACTGGTCAGTGAACCGAGAATAAGACACTTTGGGTCTCGTCTTTGAAATCACTGTATCGTTGCCTTTCATCCCAGTCAATTGGAAAACTCACACTAACAATCATTATATAGAATATTTTGTAAAAAAAAGTGAAAGACAATACCAGGTGACATTTTAAACAGTGGTGTTCATAGACTATAACTGAATTATTTAAGGAATCCTCCTTTAAAACTAGAAACTTTTTCAAATATTAATCGCTAATCGCTAATCTTAACCAATCTAAAGACCATCAATTACCATCCCCGCAACTTAAAAACTTGAATCATAATTTTTTCCCTTGGCGTCGTTTGTCTTCATTATGATAAATTGACGATGCGAACATATTTCATCTGAGCGCTGAAATTTAGAACGAGGCGATAATGAGATGTTATTAATATCAACTTGCGACTTATTTAGTGACAAACCCCTTTGGTCCCACACAAAGCGGCATTATGCAAACAAGCAAAGAGTATAGGAGAATTTTTAGATTGCTTCGAACCCTTAAAAAAAAAACCTAAGCCGCCTGTTGTTCGAGAAGCCTTCAGAAGTGTCAAGAAAACAAATGACGGTCAGTCTTTTTTTTTGTGTTCCTAAGCCAACCTTGAAAAAAACACTGAAGTATGAGCAAGTGTTAAACTTTCTTTTCTTATACCGTCAACGTTGCCTTTTTAAGGCATTCGCCTTGAAGCCATAGGTTTTGTAACTTGAGAACATAAAAGGGACTTTTACACACAAACAACAGAATAATGATGGTGCCCAAACAAAAATTTGTCCTTTTTATATATATATTTTTTTTAATTACCCAGCAACAGAGTTGATGTCGATAATTACTGATTATTAAATCCATAAAGTCCGGAATTTTCAGTGGGTTTTGCTATCTTTGAAAATCAAAAATCGATTTATTGCCATTATGCGCATGTTAACTAAATACTTTAATTTTCCTACAACTTGTTTTCAATTTGCTTGCCAAGCATAAATAGGCAAACCTGTTTGGCACACCAAGCAATGCCAGAACAGGCATAAAATACGGTCAGGGTGATAAGGTTAGAGATAAGAAAATTTGTGCCCCATAACAATAGAGGAAAAAGAAAATAGGACCCTCGGCTACAGCCGTTACACACATAAATCAAATAAATGGCAAACAAAAAAGTGTCCAATATAACATATATCAAACAAAAAGTAAGTAAATAGTAAGAACACCATCCGAATATGCCTCGAACTCAAAGTTACTTGAAAGCTGAACTAAAGTGATTTGCCACTACATATTTAACAATTTAGTTTGTACAAATCTATTACATACTTAAAGATCTCTAATATTTCCTTTATGCATATAATATTTCTCCTCTGCTGAATGCATTATTATAAAATAGTTTTGTATCATATTTTGTAAACTCAGTGCCTTTCAATCTGCGATTCTCATAAGAGCCCTTTGTGGAGCTTATTCAATCACATCACTTTAATGGCAAGTACACGTGCTAGGAGCTGGGAATGATAATTTGCGCCTAGAGACCTCCCTTGCCTTTCAATTCACCTGCCCTGCCATATTGAATTCCACTTTGCTAATTTGCGTAATTGCGCAGAGCACCCATAATGCAGTATGCGGATGCAATAAGAAGTTAAGTGGGGCGACAAGGCCTAAACGAGGTAAACACTAACTAAACACAACTTAAGGTATCAGCAATTCATGTGCTTTAGCCACAACAAATTATTTTTAGAATACATGAGAAGTCGTATTTGTTATATGTAAAAAACGAAAATGAAATACGGAAAATACAACATGGGTTTGAATTTCTATAGTTTTCCTAAATTTGGATTCCCAATTTATTTTATTATATTTTAAATTGTCCGTTTATTTGTTCTTCCTTTTTTGGGATCTTCGTTTGTTTTATTTATAATTTTTATGTTCATTATTATTTTGTTCCTTAACAACAAAAAACTAACCTTAAATATCCTTGTTTTTCCTAACTCGCATAGAAAACCGTGTCTGACAGAATCACTAAAACACAGGTTTCCAATAGCAAAAGTGCTTCAAAAAATCTCAAATGTCCCCCAAAAGGCAGTTAATTGCAAATCTCCAGCCAGTTCGTATCCAATTTTGACCTTCATACCTTTTCGTCTGCCAGGGGAAAACCTCAGCCCACCTGCAACTGCCGGCGAAGACCAATTTGTGGCTGGTCGGATTTCGTTAATGGCTTAATACGAGCAGCACCTGCAGTTGCAGTGGAAGCTGCAGCATCTGCGGCCACTATTTTGGCAGGCACATTAAGCGACGGGAGCTGGCCCTTTGGACCCCTGGACCTGTGGACCTCCACATCCCTGACCCCCGAATCCCGCCAGGCAGATGGCCAAGACAAGTGACAATGACAAGTGCAAGGCTGGCAGGTGGCAGTTTACCGAATTTGCAGGTGACAGGCAACGTGACCAGCAACAAGTTGTGTCTGCGAGCCACAGCGGCAGATCATTGCGGATAATTAAATATTTTATGTTGCTCGCCGAATGGCGAAATGCGAGTATTTTTAACACTACATAAAAGTTATGAACGTGGCGGCATAAAAATTAAGTCATAATGCGATTTGTGGCAATCATAAAGAGCGGAGCAGCAACTACATTGTGTGCGCTCGAGGTCATCATGCCGAAGGCGATAAATTCACTCGGTGTCGCATAAAAAGGAGCGAGTGCGATTGCTGGGCTCGTAAATCGGCACTTGAAGGGGCGGTAATAGGGATCATAAAGTCCGAGAACAAAATAATCAATTTGTACCCGAATCGTTTAATAAATTGCAACTAAGCTTGTCCCAGGGCACACGTGTCGTATGCGTCATTTGCTAAGAGTTGCGAAATTAACACGCATACGACGGCACTTAATTTGTCACTAAATGGCTTCCCCAAGACGGAGGCCAATATGTTGGCAGAGTGGTAAAAAAGGGAGCACTGCACTTGGAAATTAGATCTCTGTTACACATATATGGTATATGTGGGGTTTTTATGAATACATACATTTTTTTCATTGGTAAAATTATTTCTTACTTTAACCAAGTTATTAAGGAATTTATTTTTGTTCTTTAAGATAAACCACAAAATATTCTAATTGTCAGAAGCAACGATATGATGCTACATTTTTTTTAAAGTATTTTATTAGAATTATAGGAAATTGGTTTAAACTGTAAGTTAACTCTTTCTATTTTTCTTCTTTTTATCCCTTCTGGATAATATGGAAGAACCCTAATTTGTTATTGACAATTTTAGAACAAAGTAGACGTAATTTCCAGTGTAACCATGTGGCAATGTGGCGAGCAACACGTTGTGTAGCTTAAATTGAAAATTACAAAAAGCGAAACAAACAAGCACGCAACCTCCAACAAGCGCCTTCAAGAATGCCACGTTGTGTCCCAGAGAAACCGCAAGACGCGTGATGTGCGGACATCCTGTGGGAGGATGGGGCTGGGGTCAGATGGGGGCGTGGCTGAGGCCCTCGGGTTGACGGCGACGCATATGAAAATTTCGCACGACAATTTATTGCCATGCTTAAGAAGCGTGCGTATGAAATAATATACAAAGAGGACCAAGGACATGTTCGTGCCACAACAGCGGCAGCAATAAGCGGTTTGCTGCTCCTGCTGCTGATGCTGAATTTTAAAATGTTCTTTAAACAATGCTCTCCAGAACTGATGGCAGCGATTTGTTCGATGTTGACAGTGTTGTTAAGGGCGGAACCAGGACACTGTCTCAGATGGATTGGAATCTGGGACTGTGGCACAGTGGGGACTTGCACGAGTGGCTACTTAAAGCTTATTTGCCGCTTAAAGCCATCTAATGGCCATGTGCGATGAGTGATGAGCTCATTGCAGTGGGAATTTGCTTAATGCGATTTAATTAATAAGCGGAAACAAATTCAATTATTCAGCGATAGGAAGGTAAATTAATATTTATTGCCACTGCCCTTTACGAAAACATTAGATCTCAGATTGATGGATGTATTCATTACAAGACATTTTTGTCTAGCGTATAATGACTTTATAAATCAAATTTATATTGTTAAGATGAAAAAGTACAAAGTTAGAAAAAATTATTTAAAGTACTTAAAGTGCTGGCAGTAACTACACAATGAAGGCCTTATTATAACTTGAATTCAAGTAAATATTTCGGATTTAAACCAAAATATATTTAATTGAATTTATTGATATTTAAAAAAATTGAAATTGTCAAACGCACTCAACTCAAAAAGGTTATTGAAAAGTCACCAAGTACCCAGAGTTTTCAATTATATATAAAGATTACATGTGCTCCACTTGCACACAATGTCGTTGATGTTTACAATTTCTTTCGGCCGCAGGACATGCCTCACTTTAGCCCAGCCCCAGGAACAATAAATGTATGTAAATATACAAAGTACACATATGCATACCCGTTCGGGTGAAATCTTAAACTACATAATGCCAATGGAAACCGAAATCGTTGCACTTGGCAGCCAACGACCCAGAAACGGAAGGCTGGGAAGGATGGAAAGGATGGGCAGGAGTTGTGGCCAGCGGGCAGTAGAC